ATGCCACAGAGGCCACATTAGGAAGGAGCCATTGCAGCCTGCCTCTCAGTCCGCCACGCCAAATACTACGACTGCAAGGTCAGAGTTATCCGGTCAGTCGGCAAGCTTCCAAGCCACGGCTTTTAGTGCATCGAGTCAGTTTGTTTGCAGTGAGGAAAATGCGCCGAGCTGTCGACTCTCTATTCCCATCCCCAAGTCACAGCCACTACTTTGCGTACGAAGTGAGGCAAAGTAACCTCGGTCAAGAGGGAAAGCGAACTAGAGTGGTCAAGGTTTCCAGCCTTTCATTTTTCTTTCCAACGAGCACCATATATATGTTGTTGGGCAAATATTTGCATGTTGTTTTATGCATTTTGTATAATTGTTGGGCACGTGAGCAAGGACTTTTTCAGGGGGCTAAGAGACGGCGAAAGTGACGAATAATCAAAATGTCTCTTTTGGAGATAGTCCGGCAAGTTTTTGCTGCAAATGAAGCAACCATGAAGTATGCGCATGATTAGAAAACAGTGGATGCAGGTTCCAAACTGACCCTGCGGTGAACAAACGGGAATGAAGGAGGTCTCCGGAGAGCCAGCGACTGGATTGAAGTAGGGATAGTGCTGACCAAGTCGACAATTCTCGTAGGCATATGAGAGTTCGCGGAAGAAGGTAGCCAGGGTAGACATGGGAGTTGTCGTTGGCAGAGGAGATGGCCTTGGGGACGTATAGGCGTTACCAGGGCTTTCATTGGTTGGAGTAGTATCGTCACAACCACCACCACCACCGCTACTACCACTACTGGCGTTTCCAAAAGGTCCAGTGAAGAGAGCGGGAAGGACCACGGCAAAGGCGACGCGTTTGGGACGCGAGAGCGGAGCCAACGCCAAGCAATCCTAAATTCAGCGGGGAAAAAAGAGGTCAGTTCGGATGCTTTAGGATTCACAGACAACCTCCACTGGTGACAGCGAAAAAAAGGCTCAAGAGAAGAATAAGTGGGTTTAGTGAAGTTTAACCTCACTGAGCTTTGTTCAAATTTGTGTTAGGATGCTGTGGCAAGTGAGCTAATTAAAATGCCTTGGCTGGCCGTAAAAAACTCCAGCGATACTCTTTTGACTGGAAGGCGGACCTACCGCCGTGATGGTGAGGCAAGGCTTGCAAACGGGACTTCCAATGTACCAGCATGTAGACGGGTTTCCAGAAAAAGGGCGAAATTTCCTGCATTCCAGCAAACCTTATCGAACAACAAGCGCGTAATAGCAATGGAAAAAGCAGACAATACGCAGGAAAAAGCTAAGCGAACAGAAAGATATAACGGAACAAAATGAGTACAGTATAAGCAAACGAAATCAAGACGATAACTTCAGGGTTTCGGTCTTAGAATTCCAGTCTGACGAGAGAAAACTCAGGGAAAGGATAGCTGAAATTACATTCGGGCAGAATTGCGATAGAGTTGTAAGAGGGTAAGACAAGAAAACCCGGACGAATTTGGCAACAAGAAGGTAGAGCCTGGCAAGATGGAGTATAAACCACGCTAAGAATTTTGTTGGCAAATTAGGTTAACAGTCATCCATAACGATCGCAACAGTAACGTATACAGACGCAGCATCAGCGGTGAAAGATGGTAGTTATCGACAAGCGGTCAGGTCTTTAGTCGGCGTCTTTTTAAATTTATCAATAATCACATGATTTGGAGATAACTCCATTTAGTTTCTTGGTCGTAAAAACAAGCACGAGAATTGTAGTCAAGGGCAGTCAACTTGCCACAACAAGACAATACTTAAACTGATGAAAGTTGAAACGGCTAGGGCTACCCTAGCAAGTATTTTTTCGACTACGCATGCAACAAGAAAAAGCTTAATTTACAATTGTTGCTAATTAGGATGTAGACATATATAACGCATCGAAAGTTATATTTTTTGTATTCAGTTCGCCCAGTCATCAGTATATCCCAATAATGCATGGTGACAATCCAGAAAATAGTCAAAAGGATTGAAGAAACCAAGCCGCTCGCTAAGAACCCAGAAAACCCCTCTCCCGTAATATAGACAGTGATAAGCTAGATTCGAGGGAGATTATGGTTCAGCTAAATGTCAGGGTCAGAAAACGGGAGCAAGTACTTATTCTGGAGTTTAACGCCAAACTACTCGTATTATTGGGGAGTTTCTGTTTTGATGAGCAGGTGGGATCGCTAGGACAATAACTTTTTGCCCGATGTCTTGGATTTCTGTTCGAACCCATCATCAGATACAGGCAATAAATGCACAGACAGTGGGAGTAGTTATAGCATGCAAACAATATGCTACCGCAAAACGGCTCCCCCATTCATTGAGGATGCCTGTCCTCTGGTTCGATAACAGCCGGCATTTGCGTCATTAGTATCTTAAATTCCACCAGCCGCGTTGGATGGTAGCGTGAAAACTGCTCAGCCATCTGCCCCACCTGCACAAACGCCGAAAAAAGTGTTAGTTTGTACATTCTCCAAGTGGCTAATAACTTTAGCCAAACTAAGTCTCAGCACCGAGTATGACGTGGGCAGGTCTTTGCACTGGGGGCCCGTGAACCACGGCCGAAGCAGCTCAAGGCTCACGTGATTGTCACCTCCTGCAAGAATTTTGGCCGGGCCTCGCTGTCTTCTGGATTACTTCCCCAGACTCGCATTTTAACTTGTATCATCAGTTTATATTCTTGTGTCCTGCATGTCGCCCTGAAACTGTCCGTTTCTGCGACAGCAAGCAATCGAGTACAGCAGAGGGCGTAACACATACAATGTGATACATGAAAGTTGAATGAGTGGTACGCAGTACCTCGAACGTGTTGCATTTTGTTTATTATACTGACGTTGGACACCAACCAACGTAACCTGGTGTTCGGATGACTGTCTATCCTAATAGCCGCCGCAGACCATATTCTTGCATTGTTACATGTTCCACTAGCAAATGGCCGCGAAAAAGATTTACCAAAGTAATTGTCGCCAAGTTGAAACTTTATTTTTCCATCCGCATAGCGTACACGGGCTTTATGAATTATTACTTATAAATCCACGCAGTTGCATGCATTAAAAAGTAATAATAACGGTCAAATAAATTATTTAAAACTG